GGGGGCCGCCTTGCTGTGGGCCGGCGCCGGGGCCCTCATCAACCTCAAGTACTCGGTGGAGGAGGAGCAGCGGGCCGGCACCGTGATCGCTAACGTCGCCAAGGATGCCCGGGACGCGGGCTTCGTGCTAGACTCCCGGCAGCCCACCGCCTTCCGGGTGGTCTCCAACTCGGCCCCTCACCTGGTGGACATCAGCCCCGGCTCGGGGCTGCTGGTGACCAAGCAGAAGATCGACCGGGACCTGCTGTGCCGGCAGAGCCCCAAGTGCGTCATCTCGCTGGAGGTGATGTCCAGCTCCATGGAGATCTGCGTGATCAAGCTAGAGATCAAGGACCTCAATGACAACGCGCCCAGCTTCCCCACCGACCAGATCGAGCTGGAGATCTCGGAGACGGCCAGCCCTGGCACCCGGGTGCCACTGGAGAGCGCCTACGATCCGGACTCAGGCAGCTTTGGCGTGCAGAGCTATGAGATCACGCCCAACGACCTCTTTGGGCTGGAGACCAAGACACGGGGTGATGGATCCCGCTTCGCCGAGCTAGTGGTGGAGAAGAGCCTGGATCGTGAGACCCAGTCCCACTACAGCTATGTGATCACAGCACTGGACGGCGGCGACCCACCCAACTTTGGTACGGTGGAGCTCAGCATCCGTGTGATTGACTCCAACGACAACAACCCGCTCTTCGAGGAGCCGGCCTACACTGTCAGCGTGCCTGAAAATTCCCCACCAGGCACGCCTGTTATCCGCCTCAATGCCTCTGACCCGGATGAGGGCACCAATGGGCAGGTGCTCTACTCCTTCCACAGCTACGTCTCTGAGAGGGCCCGGGAGCTTTTCCAGATTGACCCCCAGAGTGGCCTCATCACAGTTAGTGGTGCCATCGACTATGAGGAAGGTCACGTCTATGAGCTGGACGTGCAGGCCAAGGACTTGGGGCCTAACTCCATCCCTGCCCATTGCAAAGTGACTGTCAGCATCCAGGATGCCAACGACAACCCTCCTCTCATTAACCTGCTCTCCGTCAACAGCGAGCTGGTGGAGGTGAGCGAGAATGCCCCACCGGGGTACGTCATTGCCCTGGTGCGTGTCTCAGACCGCGACTCCGGGGCCAACGGCCGGGTGCAGTGCAAGCTCCTGGGCAACGTGCCTTTCCGGCTGCAGGAGTACGAGAGCTTCTCCACCATCCTTGTGGATGGGCGTCTGGACCGGGAGCAGAGGGACCAGTACAATCTCACCATCCAGGCCAGGGACAATGGCGTCCCCTCCCTGCAGGCCACCAAGTCCTTCACTGTCAAGATCACTGATGAGAATGACAACCATCCCCACTTCTCCAAGCCCTATTACCAGGTCATTGTGCAGGAGAACAACACCCCAGGGGCCTACCTCCTCTCTGTCTCAGCGAAGGACCCCGACCTGGGTCTCAACGGCAGTGTCTCCTATCAGATCGTGCCCTCCCAAGTCAGGGACATGCCCGTCTTCACCTATGTCTCCATCAACCCCAATTCTGGGGATATCTATGCTTTGAGGTCCTTCAATCATGAACAGACGAAGGCCTTTGAGTTCAAGGTCTTGGCAAAGGATGGGGGTAACCCCTCGCTGCAGAGCAATGCCACCGTCAGGGTGATCGTCCTGGATGTCAATGACAACACTCCTGTGATCACAGCCCCTCCGCTGGTCAACGGGACTGCTGAAGTGTACATCCCCAGGAATGCAGGGGTCGGCTACTTAGTGACAGTGGTCAAGGCGGATGACTACGACGAGGGTGAAAATGGCAGACTTTCCTATGAAATGGTCGAAGGAGACAGAGGATTTTTTGAGATAGACCAGGTCAATGGAGAGATAAGGACCACCAGAGCCTTTGGGGAGAATGCAAAGACAGCGTATGAGCTGATTGTGGTGGCTCATGACCATGGAAAAACATCTCTCTCAGCTTCTGCCTTGATTTTGATATACCTCTCTCCAGCTTTGGATGCCCAGGAATCCATAGGATCTGTTAACTTGTCTCTGATTTTCATTATCGCCCTGGGGTCTATTGCGGCCATTCTTTTTGTCACCATGATCTTCGTGGCAGTAAAGTGCAAAAGGGATAACAAGGAAATCAGGACCTATAACTGCAGGTAAAGACATCCTTATTTCTATATACTCGGCAGTGTGTGCTTTGATTTTTGCAATCCCAGTTACTTTTCCATTTGCTGTCATGTACCGGGGTGGGGGGAGAAGGGGCGTTAAATTTGCTTTAGGAACAAAAGTGAGGGTCACGGCAAATTTCCTTAGAAGCTTTAAAAAATTGTTATCTAGGAGAAGAAGATGAAGAAGAAAAAAAAAAACCTTGAATAATAAATAAGCTTCATTCTGGGATTCGACAATCTGTTGCAGCATACGTTATTTTTATCTGCTCGGTGGCAGGAGCAGTGCGAACAGGTTTTTATGCCGGCATGGCTGCTTGCCTTTCCCCTTACTCGGGAAAGTATTTACAGAAATAATTCCCCAGATTCACCCGCGCGGATCATCTCTC